ACACTAAACACTAAGAATTAAGCAGAGAAACCAGGAAATTGGCTCGCCAGCAGAGAGATAATTCGTTCGTTCGAGAAGAAAAAACGTTTGTAAGAAGATAAAATTATGGCCATTTGGAACGTGCAAAATCGGAAATAACTATCTCCTTCCTCAATGGAAAATTACTTGATGATCAAAACTTCTTTAGTCGAGGAAACGCGAGAAGTGATTCGCGGATCGTTGCTTCCCGCGCGGATGCATCAGGTCCGATGCACACGAGCGACGCACGAAAGAGACAACTTCGAGCATCGACAAACCAAAGTGGAACTACCATTAACAACAATACTGGTCAAAATGATCAATTTATAATTTCTATTGCATATTTTGTAGACGTAAAGCTTGTAGCGTAGTATTTTTTAAAGATTTGGACAATTTTTCGTAAAACATATAAATGAAAGCTTGTATATTTATATAATATGTATTATTATAAATAATATGTAATACTTATTATAAAGATTCTCTATTTTTTTCTATTCTCAACTCTGTCTTTAATGGAAATGTTATGCTTTAATTATTGGCAGTTCTGTTATATAAAATTTTTACTCGCGTCAACGGCAGTAAATTATACAATAAATAATTATATATAAAATAAAATATATAAAATATATAAAATAATATATAAATAAGAAATGAAATAAAATATATAGAATAATATATAAATAAAAATAAAATAAAATAATATAAAATATTATAAAAATTATTAAATATTATATAATTAATTATTATATATTATATAATATTATTAAAATTATAAAAATAATATAAAATATTATAAAAATTATTAAATGTTATATAATATTATTAAAATTATAAAAATAATATAAAATATTATAAAAATTATTAAATGTTATATAATATTATTAGAATTATAAAAATAATATAAAATATTATAAAAATTATTAAATGTTATATATTATTAAAATTATAAAAATAATATAAAATAATATATAAATAATATATAATATATAAAATAAAAATAAAAATAAAATAAAAATAAATAACCGGAATGTCGCCAATTTCTCACAAACTCGCGAGATATCTCAGCGTTCCAAGCACGTAGATAGCGTTTCGAGGAATTAGAGTGGCCAGACGAAGAGTCTAGAATCCTTCGATACACGCACGCCTACGTGGACGTAGGCATGTCTCTGGAGAAAGTAAGTACGAAACACTTGTTACTAACTCGCCTGAGCCTGGCTTTAGAGAGGCCTTTCCTCGCGAGGAAATTGGAAAACCTGCGCTGATTTTCTGCAATTTCTTCTTCGTTCTCTTTTTCTCAGACAAGACGAAAGGATCCTACATCGTTTGAAATAATTCGCTCATCAATCTATTTCGACGAGAGAATTTAATTTTACCATATAAATATACTATATAATAAATAATAAATAAAGCAAATGAATCAAGTTAAATTAAACAATTACAAATTAAATAATAAATAATAAATTACGAATGTTTCGATATGAGAAACGTCCGAACGACCTGATATTTAGGATACGTTGTTGGACTTCGCAAAAAAGTTGCACCTGCCCGCGCCAAGCATTATTCAACGTCGCTTGAAGAAATATCCTGTGTTGGCCAACCGCGTTTTGAAAAAAACTGCGCCAGAAATCCGACACATTTACACCAGCGATCGACATCGTGCCGCGAATTCCAATGTCCATCGAATCATCCGGAGGATTGCTGCCCCACGTGACGCGAATGGGCAGGCTGTTTTACCGATCGATCGTGTCGTGATTCGATCCAGATCAACGTTTTATAGTTTATTTATCAGGGTCAGCTGATGGCGTGTTTGACGCAAGAGAATGCGTTTCGTGTTTTTTTTTTTATTGCGTTACTCAATGCCATCTCGATGTGAATAATTCCCGTTTCCTGAGACGGAGATTCTTCTCCTTTTCTTTCCTTTTTTTTTTTTTTTTGTCTTCAAGATCTGGAGGATTTATATAATTCGCGATTTATATAATTGGACTTTACATATATCCTTCCTGTTATCTGTTACTCCTTCGTTTCGTTACAATGGGATTACTCACGTTCAGACAAATTGCTCCGATAAGAGAAACATTACGTAACTTGGAAAACACACGTTCACGTGAGAATAGCACTTATTGCTGTACCATTATTGACATAGTTGCTAGATTTTAGAAATTGACGACTGCAATTAATTTCATCATCTCGAGATTCTGGCTGTAAGGGGATTAATCGAAAATTATTCGAAATTATTTGCAATTATAATTTATAATTTATATTATGAAGTTATTTAAAATTTCATTCAAACCAGAGATCATTTTTCCAGTCTCAGAACTGATTAGTATTAATTGTTCTCATCTGTTTTATACCAGCTAATATTTATCGTACTTTCACAACAAAACTAATTAACATTAATCGTATCGTACTAATTATGTTATATTATCTATCAATATGTTAATTTTATCATCTATCTTTTATATTAATTAATATTTATTGTGTTTACTCAAACTGTGCTCAAACTTTAATTAGCTAATTAATATTATTAATATATTATTATTATTAATATTATTAATATTATTAATATTATTAATATATTATTAATATTATTAATATTATTAACTTATTCGTAACTAACTCGTCAACGCTTTGCGCTGGCAACTGATTCGCGGACCATAACGAGTGACCGAACCGTACACAACAATTTGTCGCTTTCTATTTCTTTCGAGCTCGTCGGTGATGATATCACTGGATAGAAATTATCAAGAAGCAAATAAATTTGTTATTTGTTTCGCTTAGGTTATATACTTAAAACTGAGAAAATATTGTAATTTTGGGACAAAAAGTTCTCGACGTGCGCGGCAGGTTCGTTCCAGCGCTAGAGGGTTAACCAACCGATTGCGGACCATAACGAGCGACCGAGCCGTAACGCAATAATTCGTCGCTTTCTTTTTCTCGTCGAACTCGTCGGCGATGACGTCACTGGATGGAAATTATTGAGAAGCAATGAACCAAAAATCATTCGTTTTTGCCTGGGTTGGCATTTAAATACTACTCTCTAAAAGAAAATGTTGCAATTTGGGACAAAAGAATATTCTCGACGTGCATGTCATCCCGGCGCAGCAGGTTAAAGTCGAAATTTTCTAAAGTCCTTCGAAGCAAAGAAATATAATCGTGTCGTGAGGAAGTTTTGAGAAACAGTTACACGGATCAGCAATCACTAAATTTCATTGCATGTCCAACATCAGAGAGAGAAAGGACAAAGATTTCTAATTTTCTCCGGTTACGAAAAGAGAGAGAGAGAGAGAGACACTCGTCGAATTGTTCGGATTCGGTAAAAATCGCGGAGGAAAGCATTAATCAGCCGGTCATCGTGCATTCATCGTGACTGTTTGCTTTCACCCGGTGTGCGTGCACCCGGTGTATTTCGCCAGGGCAAGCTTATGCACGTACTGTTACCTCGTCCTCTAAACCATCTGTTAAGTCCTTCATTCACCGCGAACCTAACGCGGAAACGTGCCACACGCACACCACCACACGATCGCCGCGATTCTCGCGATCACGCGGCCCTGACACTGACACTGTCTTGACTCAACTCAACTTACATACAGTACATACACTTCCATCGTGCTCGAGAATTATATATTGGACAATGATATGTTAGACAGATATAATAAATTGGATATAATAAATTGAACGTTCAATGTTAAAATCATCGTGGCGCACTGGCAGCCAACTAAATTTCGCGACGTCTCTTTCATGTGTAATTACTATATAAATTACTACGTAATTACTATAAATTACTACATAATTACTATAAATTACTATGTAATTACTATATAAATATATTTTAATACATGTAATATGTAAATATATTTCAATTGTTAATAATTTGCAATATATTTTAAATATATTATTTTTCAATTTAAATAGAATATTTTAAGTGTAATGCGAATTAAATGTAATGTACGTATGTATATATTATGTTCAATATGTTAGGTTAAATATATTTTATTTACAATGTTTCAAATATCGCTGTATCTCGATATTTCTGTATTTTAAATATTCTCGTTAATATATACTTGCAATATATATTTCAATTTAAATATGATATCTTGAATATATTGTAATTCTAAATATAATATAAATTAAATGTAATGTACATATATATTATGTTCAATATGTTAGGTTAAATATATTTTATTTACAATGTTTCAAATATCGCTGTATCTCGATATTTCTGTATTTTAAATATTCTCGTTAATATATATTTGCAATATATTTTAATTGTTAATAATTTGCAATATATTTTAAATATATTTTTTAATTTAAATATGATATTTTAAATATATTGTAAATTAAATATATATTACGTTTAATATATTAGAGTAAATATATTGTATTTGCAATATGTTTTAAATATATCGCTATATTTCGATATTTCTGTATTTTAAATATTCCCCTTCATATATGTATTCACAATAAATATATATATTTGCCATATATTTTAAATATCACTTTACACGTATTTCGGTATTTCTATATTTTGAATATTTTCGTTTCTGGTGCCTTCAATAACAAGAACAGTATACGTACGTATTAACACGGATTTATCTTTAAAGGATAAACAGGGCACGTTTCATATTTCCGTTGTGATTTAACGAAGCACTTGCGCAATTTATTTCATACTCTGATTTTCGTGGAAAATTTCCTGTACATTGATGGAAATATTTGATTCATAAAAATGTACAAATAGGGGCTTAAATATACAAACAGAATCTCTAAACATGTATACACAAATGGCTCTAAAACAGAAACTCAAAATCCCAATTATATCACCTCCAACTTACTCTTCGTCTCTTTTCTCTTTCAACGAAAACCTACTTTCGCTCAATTGACAAAAAATCCAAAAAAGACCAACACAAAAAATTGAATCTGCAATTCAATTCCACCAGAAAAAAAAAAAAAGAAAGAAAGAAAGAAAGAAAGAATACTTTACTCACATTTTCGAAGTTCGTCTATCATGTCACGGGCCCTCACGTGTCCCTCGATCTCATAATGGTCCACGATCGGTGTGCCAGTTTCAGGAAACAGGAAACAGCTTCTCCAGCGCCTTCCACAGCGAAACAGAGTCTCACATCGCAGCCACCAGGCAACAGGACAGTTCACTGGAGGCGGTAGCACTGCTGGCAAGCTTCCGTTTCCGTTTCCAGCGTGCAGCCGGCGAAGAAGGCTGACAGGACAGACGTTCGGCGACGATGTCGAGGAACGCGAGAGAGATCGGATATCCGAGCGAGTTGAGCCGAAACGATGCGACACGGTGAGAGGCCGGCACTCGACTGAACTCGGCGGTGCTCGTCACCGAAATCTCGTGGTTGCTCCACCACCTGCTCGTTGCTCGTTCTTCAGCAAATTGGTGGGGGATTACAGGTAGATCGGTCGGCGATGGGATGAGCTGTGGTAGACTGTACACAGACACACAGGCACAGATAAAGGTTGGTCATAGGCTGGCTGAAATTCCTCGACCTTGCGTGGAATTCGTCGATTTCCTGCATCGACGGCAGTTTTCCCTCGGCAGATTTTCGCTTTTTGAAAGGCAACACATGGCTCGAGCAGCATTCTGTGTTATTCGACGACGACCACGTTGAAAAAAGCAACTCTCGATATCACTGTTAATGTTATTAAAATATAATTAAAATGTCGCTACTAATGTTATTAAAATATAATTAAAATATAATTAATTAAAATAGCACTATTAATATTATTAAAATATAATTAATTAAAGCATCACCATTAATATTATTAGAATATAATAAAATATAATTAATTAAAATATCATTATTAATATTATTAAAATATAATTAAAATATCACTATTAGTGTTATTAAAATATAATAAAATCTAATTAATTGAAATGTCACTATTAATATTATTAAAATATAATTAATTAAAGTATCACCATTAATATTATTAGAATATAATAAAATATAATTAATTAAAATATCACTATTAATATTATTAAAATATAATTAAAATATCATTATTAGCGTTATTAAAATATAATAAAATCTAATTAATTGAAATATCACTATTAATATTATTAAAATGTAATTAAAATATAATAAAATATAATTAATTGAAATGTCACTATTAATATTATTAATATTATATAATATTATTAATATTATATAATATTATTAATATTATATAATTAATATTATAATATGATAAAATATAATCAATTGAAATGTCACTATTAATATTATTAAAACATAATTAAAATTATTATTTCTTACAATTCAATTTAAATTCTAAATTTAAAACACTAGCATGTTAAAATGATAAATAAATATTTATTAATTTAAAATAAATTATTCATAAATTATAGTCCTTTCGTACAAATAATTTAAATATTTTCATAGGAACCTATAAAATTGAGAATTAATTGATAATTTTGCGTGGCAAATTTGATGGATTGTCTAGTCCAATTATTTGGTCGAGGAAATACTTTTGAGACCTCCACTCTTTCAAGTTTCCAGCAAAATCAGATTCCTTTCGGAATTTTAGGTTTCCTTTAGGATTTTTGTCACAGACTCTTCGCAGACGCTTTATGCTTTGAAGAATAAATTCAACGACCCTGATTGACAAGATATCGTGCTTCCTCTTCCTACTCGAAGACCAGGAAATACATTGTTTAATACGTTTTCATACCACAATATATATTTATATTCCGTATTTCAGAAAACTGCTTACCTTGCAAGCAATTGTAATTGCAACATTCCAATAAAAACAGATGTTCCGTCTTTGCAAATAGAAATAAACGACGATGTTACTTTGGATCAAATTGACAATCCAGATATACAGGGTGCCTTGTAAAAAGAACATATCATCGAATGTATATGAGAAAATGGCAAAGTATAATAATGGAGTAACAGTCGGTTCAACAATTATATCACACAGTGATATCACATATAATTTGCATTTTAATTTGTATTCTAATATTAATTTTGTACTTTAATTCCAATTAATTTCAATAACAATTAATTATTCTAATTAATTTTAATAACAATTAATTATTAAATAATTAGTTTTTAATAACAATTTTGTACTTCAATTTTGTATTCTAGTATTAATTTTTTTGATAATAATTCTGCACTTTAATTTGTATTCTACTATTAATTTTGTACTTTAATTCTAATTAATTTTAATAACAATCAATTATTCTAATTAATTTTAATAACAATCATTCTAATTAATTTTTAATAACAATTTTGTACTTCAATTTTGTATTCTAATATTAATTTTTGATAATAATACTCTGCACTCTTTAATTTGTATTCTACTATTAATTTTTAACAACAACTTTGCATTTTAGTTTTATTACCATAATGCAAACTGCAAAGTACAGTCAGTTATTGTCAAAATTTTATTGAATTTAACTGAATTAACTTCGATAAAAATTCTCATTGTCAGTCGAGCGATCGTTTCTCTCGAATTCTCGCCAAGTTCTGCATCCTCTGCGACTTTCGTACGTTCTTCTTGTTCTTTTTTTTCTCGTTTCGAGTATCGATGCACTCCTCAGAGTGCAAGATGAAGCATCGCCCATCGATCCACAAGAGCAGAAACACCGTTTTGTTTTTACATAATAGTCGGGCAGACTCCGCGCCATAAACTAGAAATCGCGTGTAATTGAATCGAATAAAATCGAGCGGGGAGCACTGGACTTTCTCTCCGGATCACGTAATAAGCCCGAAATATTATACTCGCGCTCGCGTATGCCCGATGTTATGTCATCCCCGCAATTTCTTCCGTTTTTTCCCTTTTCTTTTCTTTTCTTTTTTCTCCCCTCGGCGTCGAAAGTATTACATTTAAAAACGCCGCACGCTCTTCGTCTCGGTTCTTCTCATCGCCAGCGCGAGGAACGACAACGCCGAGCTCTGTGATTGATGTTCACTTTCGACGTAGCGAAGTCGTCGCGTAGACGAGATCAAACGAAACGGAACGAATCGAGTGACGGAGAGAGAAACGAGCAGCAAGACGAATTATTAAAATGCACGCGCTTGGATAATGTAGCTCACTTTGGTCAGGCTCTTTAGAAAATTTGAATAGTAATTACAATAGAAAACGCGTTGATGAAAACGTCGTTGACGTTGATGAAAATTTACTGAATTTAAATGTACTGCCGTCGATATGATTCAAGAATTTATAAGAATATTAGAATATTATGGAATATTTATTATATAATTTATATATTTATATATATTTATATTATATTATTTATTATATATATTAGAACACATATTGTAATTGTAACTATGATCTTTCAGTTATAATCAAATTATAATTATAATTCAATTTTTATTAGAATATTATAGGATATTTATTGTATTATTTATTATATATTATAGAATATTTATTATATTATTTATTATATATTATAGAATATTTATTATATTATTTATTATATATTATAGAATATTTATTATGTTATTTATTATATATTATAGAATATTTATTATATTATTTATTATATATTATGGAATATTTATTATATTATTTATTATATATTATAGAATATTTATTATATTATTTATTATATATTGTAGAATACATATTATGATTGTAACTCTGATCTTTCAATTATAATTCAATTTTAACTGAAATTCAATTTTTATTAGAATATTATGGAATATTTATTATATTATTTATTATATATTATAGAATAATTATTAGGTTATTTATTACATATTATAGAATATTTATTATATTATTTATTATATATTATAGAATCATTATTAGGTTATTTATTACATATTATAGAATATTTATTATATTATTTATTATATATTATAGAATATATATTATAACTTGTAACTCTGATCTTTCAATTATAATCCAATTTTAACTGAAATTCAATTTTTATTAGAATATTATGGAATATTTATTATATTATTTATTATATATTATAGAATATTTATTATGTTATTTATTACATATTATAGAATATTTATTATATTATTTATTATATATTATAGAATATATATTGTAATTGTAACTCTGATCTTTCATTTATAATTAAATTATAATTATAATTCAATTTTTATTAGAATATCATAGAATATTTATTATATTATTTATTATATATTATAGAATATATACTATAATTGTAACTTTGATCTTTCAATTATAATCCAATTTTAACTATAATTCAATTTTTATCTTTCACAACAATATTTAATTTAAGACAACATTTAATTAGACCTTAGTTCCTTTCTGTTTAATGAAATTTTCAATTTTCATGGAAATTTCATGAAATGTACCATATCAATATTATTGAAAACTCACGATCATTGCAACTCAATTGCAATTATAATTTCAATTTTTCTCTTTCACAGCAATATCTAATATAACATCGGATCCTTAGCTCCTTTCTGTTTAAAAAAAATCGTCAATCCTCAGTCAAAAGTATCGAGCAAAAAAAAAAAAAAAAAAAAAAAAAAAAAAAAACTAATAAACGAAGACA